AAGGTGGTATTTACATGCAGTATGACTCTGCCATAAAGAAGAATAAACTTGAGTCATCAGTGGAAAAATGGATGCACCTTGAGACCGTAATGTTAAGTGAAATAATACAAAAGCTCAAATACCACATGGTTTCTCTTATATGACAAACCCTATTTTATCTTCTAAACCCAAAATACAAATAGAGAGCAAAATAAAAGTGAGATAATGGGGGGGGGGAAGATGGAAGGAGGGGAAGGAGGGAAGGGGAAAATCCAGATGGAAGGGGAAGGAGGGAAAGGGGACATAAAAAGAAAAATTTTAAAAAACGTATGGAACACCTCAAATGTCCATCGACAACAGAAAAGGTAAATATATTCATACAATGGACACTGAGACTCAGCACTACAAAAAAACAAATCAATGACATAGCTGACAACCTGATAATTCTCACAACTATATTGAGTGCAATAAATCAGATGCAATGTTTCAAATTCATGCCATAATTGTAGCAAATATCAAATGCAACAAATCATGGGCATGCAACATGATTGTTGGGGAGTTTAGATCTCTGACTTAAATCCTTGAATTCTAGCCTGGGTGGTGGTATACACCTGTAATCTCAGCACTCTGAGATGCTGAGGTAGGTGGATTGCAAGCTCAAGCCTAGCCTGGGCAACTTAGTGAGAGACACTGTCTCAAAGTAAAATATAAAAAGACCTGAGGATGTAACTTGCTGTGAAGGCCCTGCGTTTCATCCCCAGTACTGAAAAGAAAAGAAAAAAAAATCCTTGACTATCACGGTTCTCTGATAGAAAATAAGGACTCCTTTAGTCTCTACTCCACCTGTGATTTGAGCAGTCTAGCTTCCTGTGGATGAATAAGCTTCTTAATGTGAAGCCTGAATCTTTCATACAGTATCTCCAGATTCCTCTCCAGAACTCCCCACTGCTGGTTGTTTTTGAGATTATTTAAACGTTGTTTATAGAGTTTAATAGAATCACTTCCACTAATTTTTTTCTATTGACCATATCTCTCTCTAACTAGAAGCAGGATATAGTTAGTAAAAGAATAGAATTCCAGAATGCTAACAAATGAGGTCAACTGAGAGTCAACTTTCCTATGTGTGTAAGGAAGGGAATGGATGCAGCGCGTGGTGGAGGCAGGGAAGCCAGGCAGAGGAAGGGAAGAAATGGACTCAAAAATTGAGGAAGAAATTCTTGTTTATGAGAAATTCTTGCAGTGTGGTGGAGTTGAAACACAGGTTGTAAAGTGTGGTCCCTGGACTGACCTCTTTAATGATCAAAATGTCAACAGGCCTAAGATGCTTATTTTCATCATTACTGATCCAGATGCTCAAGAAATGAAGGACATCTAGGGACTGCGTGGTCAAATAGAACACAAAATAGCTTTTCTGAGAAGTCAGGTGCCAAAGGACATGAAGCTCATCCTTGTTGGCCATTCAGTAGGCAGCTATATGGTTCTTCAGATCTTGGAGTATGCCCCCGAGCTCCCAGTCATTCATACTTTTCTCCTGTTCCCAACAATTGAGCGAATGGCTGAGACACCCAAAGGCAGGATTGCCACTCCACTTTTGTGCTGGTTTCAATATGCTGTCTATGTTACTGACTACTTACTGCTTACACTGTGTCCTGACATTGTCAAGTCCTGGTTAGTCAGCATTGTCCTTTGAGTGATAAACCTTAAGACTGAGTCAACGCTGATGAATGTAATACAACTGTTCTGCCTCGCTAATGCTGCCTAACTTGGGGCCCAAGAAATGATGACCACTGTGAAGAAAGATTATGATATTATAAAGGAACATTTATCTAAGCTTACATTTTACTATGGAACTTCAGACTCTTGGTGTCCAGCAACACACTATGAGGACATAAAGAAAGATTTTCCAGGAGATATTCGACTCTGTGAGAAAAATATACCTCATGCCTTTGTCCTCCATTTTAGCCAAGACATCGATGACATGATGGCTACCTGGGTAAAAGATAACCTGTCTAAAATATAAATACTGATGCAGGAAACAAGCACCTGCAGCCAGTACCTGGGTCAGTAGGTGTACTGTGTTTAGTAGGTAACTTTAATTTTGATATTAGAAAAGAAAAATTGGGCCAGGGATTTAGCTCAGTGGTTCTGCCACCTGCCTCGCAAGCTCAAGGACCAGAGTTCGATCCCCGGTACCCGCTCCCCCCGCAAAAAAAACAGAAACGAAAAATTAAAAATCACTTGGCTAAAAAACTACCAGCTCCCCATGCTACAGGCTGCAATGAACAATTGGTGAACAATTGCATTTGTGATCTGAATAAAGACCTCTCCACAAGAAGCCCAGTGACACCATGCAGTGTGAGTTAGTCGGCAGGATCCTTGCACACAAAAGAAAATCGAAGTGATTTTAATTGAGGCTCCCTGGGGGATATGATGAAGTACTTACTAAAACATGTAAAAGAGATCGGTGAGTGTGAGGTGTGTGAGATCGCAACAAGGACACACTCATCGCCCAGGAGCAGGAAGTGATAAGTGGTGGGTATTGGTGGTGGACCTGAGTTTCCTTCGAGGATGAAAGATCAAAATCGTCCCAGACCAGCGCTGCACAGTCATGGCTGAGACCATCAGTGCGACTCTGTGACCTGCCTGCATTAGACCAAAAGTAAAGTTCTCCAGATGGCACTTGCCCACTCCCAGGGACAGAGTCACTGAGGACCCTGGTCTGCCCCTTGCCACAGGGTAGCAGCAGGCTGTGTGCAGACTGTAGCCTGCAGGCAGTGGGCTCCCTGCAAGCGCCTTTCCTCCAGTGCTAGCAAGGAGAGGCCCCAGCTGTCCCGGCTCAGATGGGACAGCATGCAATTGCTCCTTCTGACTCTTGCAGTGAACTCTTGAAGGATGGCTGTGAGCTAAGTACTACGCCAGCCATTGATGATAGTAATATTCTTAGCTACTTGTGATTCTTCTGAAAGTCTCTAGTAAATAATTTTGGAAAAGGTGTTTTAAGTTGCCAAGTAGAATATAAACATAATTTTTTCCTCCACTTGCCTTACCTTTATTTGTTGGAAAGAAATTATTTTGCCAATGCACCCAAGTGAGCCATGAGATCATGTGAATTTTCCTTCCCTGGACACATGGAGCCCTGTGAAGAGGCAGCACCTTCTCTGGCTAAGAGTGGGCTGGCAGTGCAGCTGCCTGCCCAGAACTGACTCAATCTTGAAATCTTAGGGGCCGGTAAGTCCCACCAGCTGCAGTGACGGTTGAGAATGCGTTGAAGCATTCCATTTTCTCCTACACGAGAGCCCCTGGATATTATCATTCCTCAGGGACAGTGCAGTGCTGCCCTTCCTCTCAGGGCCTAAAGCCCCTGATGGAAGATTCACCTCTGGTGTGCTGCCCTTTGGCGATGACCTCTCAAAGGTGAAAGGCTGAGCTCCAGAGGAGAAGTGCTGTCAGTCCACAGGGAAGGACCAGGCCAGAGGGACGGGGCTGCATGTGGTCCGGTGGACATCTGCATGGCGAGGCCTTCTGGAGAGCTGGCATTCGAACGAAGCCAGACTCGCGCTCTTCTGCTCGCATGGAGGAGCTGCCACCAGCACACAATTAGGCACAGAAGCGAGTACTGGTAAAATCACACCTACTGGAAGAAAGAATAACCCCCACAGCTGGTTTTTTTAGATGTTATTTTATAACATTCCTCTGTATTTAAAAAATCTGTATGTGGGAAAGTTTGTTTTTTAGAGTTTAAAAATGATACTAGCTCTTAGTTCCTGTCATCTAAACACCAAGTGAATTTTCGAAATGAAAAAAAAAAGAATAGAATTCCATCCCATCCTTTTATGACATTGGGTCAGTGGTTTTTCTGCTAGTCTTCATCATATTCACCTGTACCTGGGAGAAGGCGGGTCAGGGACTAGATAATCTTTTAAAACCTTGGTTCCCAAATCTAACCAATCTCCTGAAGATCTTGAGACACCCAAGCTCCTAGTTTTCTGATTCAATGGACTTATGAGGAGTTAAGAACTTCATAAAACCAGCTGACACTTATCAAGAATTTATTTTCGGCAAGGCACTGTGCTAAGTGTTTTACAAGTTCATGTTCTCAGTTTATATCTTCACAACCATGAGAGGTAATCACTAAAACGGGGTTAGGGCTTAAATTATGCAACCAGTACAACTAGTAACTTGTTGAGTGAAGAATTTAACTCAGCCCCAGCAACTCTAGACCCCATTCTCTCAATCGCAACGCTATGTAGAATTTTTCAGGGAGCTTCTAGTGATTTTGATGATTAACCAGATTTTATGAAAACCACCGGGAGGCCACGCAACTCTAAAAAGTACATTTGTTTGAAATGTATGGCCCATCCCCCCATTGTTTCTGGAAGGTAAATGGTTTAGGAACAGCTTTCTTCCTACATATAACAAGAGTAGTTGGACCTCTTATTGGTATTTCCAAAACTTTCTGGCCACGTCCCACTTTGGTCCGGGAGGCTGCCAGTCTTATTGGCTGACCCAACCTGGGAACTTAAGGGAGACTCTTTCTGTACACCTGGCACTTCTAGCCACGCCCCATCCCGCGAAACCCCCAATTCCAAGCCCTTCCACCATGATTGACATGTCCTTAGAGCAATTATAATCGGCAGTGGCCGGCGGCAGCTCCGCCTCCTCGCCGACCCCGCCTCCCTTTCATTCTGAAAGAAAGAACCTCGCCCCGGAGTCCAATGACAAACGCCGCCACCCCAAAAATCCCGCCTCTTTTGACGCCGACTCCGCCCCGAGAGCGCTAGGAGCGCCCGCCCCTCCGCCGCGATCTGAGCCAATAGAAGGGTTCTTTCGGCTTGATGGACGGACAGTAGTCCAATCTATGAAGCCTCGCGCGGTGCCGCTCCCCGCCCCTCCGCCGGCGAAGCTATTGCCCGGCGAGTGCGGACCTCGGGCGGCGGCGGTGGACGCGGACCGAGGGAGCGGCAGGCCGAGCGTCCATGGCGCGCGGGCCCCGGCGGGGCGCGGCTGCGGCCTGAGGGGCCATGTCCGGGGTGGTGCGGACCCTCAGCCGCTGCCTGCTGCCGGCTGAGGCCGGGGCCCGCGAGCGCAGGGCGGGCGACGCGGAGCGCGAGGCCCGGCGTCGCAGCCGAGACATCGACGCGCTGCTGGCCCGCGAGCGGCGCGCGGTCCGGCGCCTCGTCAAGATCCTGCTGCTAGGCGCGGGCGAGAGCGGCAAGTCCACCTTTCTCAAGCAGATGCGCATCATCCACGGCCGCGAGTTCGACCAGAAGGCGCTGCTAGAGTTCCGCGACACCATCTTCGACAACATCCTCAAGGTGATGCGGGGCCCCGCCCACCCGCCACACACCTGTGCCCAGGTGGGGCGCAGGTAGCAGGCCCCCGGCCGCCTTGTCCCCCCGGGTGACTGCGGCGCTGGCCTGGTTCGCCCCGTTGTCCCTTGCCTGGCGGCGGCCAGATGTCTATCCCCAGCGCAGTATCTAGGGGACAGCTTCAGGGTCACCTGGGATCCCCCGCCCCTGCACATCTTCTTTAGTCCCCCCCAAGGGCCTGGGGGCTTTGCCCTTTCTCGGACCCCTGAGGACATAGCTACTGGAAGCTGGCCAACTTCTGGGGACTTGGGGACTGAGGGAGGGGTTCTTGGTGCGAGAGAAGCCCCTCCCCCCCTGCTGGCTGGCATCCCCCGTTTCCCCTGCAGCTTCCTAGGGTGAGGACTCTGAACTTCCCCTGCCCACCATCAGGCTTTTAAGAACTCTGTAGGCTAGGGGGAACCAGCTGCCAGTCTTAATTTTTTTTGCTTTTTAGTAGGCAAATTTTAAACATACAAAAGTAGAAAAGATAGTGGGAAGAACTGTAAGGAACCCGTTTCCCAGCTTCACCACTAATCGATCAATTCTGTGCCAGTCTCCTCACCTATGCCCCGCCCCCTCAATCTTGGAGTAAACCCCAGATGTTGTATAGATGCTTTAGAAAACATTTTAGTATGTATTTCTAAAAGACAAGGCCTTATTTTACAAACATGACCACGGTACCACGAGCAACCTTAAAAAATAGTAATAACTCCTTAATGTCACCGAATATCTAGTCAGTGTCCAGATTTCCTCCATTGTTGCACAGTTGTTTTATGTGTTTGAACCGGATACAGATAATATCCTTACATTGTGACGAAGCTCCAGGTTCTGTTTCTTGTTCCTTTTATAGTCTTTGCCGTATTTGTGAAAGAAACACTGCAGTTGACAGAGTCTGGGGTCCTGACTCTTACCTCTGAGAGTTGTGGAAAGGGCTTCAAAGGAAATCTGAAGAAAACTGACGTAGGAAAAGGAGAGTCTGCCCTGCACCTAGATTGCATCATTTCCTCTTTGAGTTTCTTATCTCTACCCTTTTCTTACCCCCTCCTCACTTTTATGCCAGCCCATTTTGGGGAAGCCAACTTCCAGGCAGATCTGAGCAAAGCTGTATCAAAGCAGAGGTGGAGAGAAGTTTAACATACCAAAAAACCAGCCTAGAGACTAACTTATATGGTGCCTGAGGGATTTTAAATTTAGCAAAAGGGCCCTAGAAACCCATCTGGGAAATTTTCTTTCACTTTGTGGTGGTGGGGGGAGCGGGCAGGCCCTCTAGGCCTGGCCTTAGTGCTGAGATCCTGGGCTTTAACCTTCCAGGCCAGTATTCTCACTTTACATTTTTGTTTCTGAAATACTTCATTTTGATAAAAATACCTCGGTTGGGATTGTGATGGGAAGAAAATAATTTGAATGATAAGACATCCCTTTCCTTTTCACCTCTTTCAGAAGCCTCTCAGTGAGTGAAGTCTCTGGTCAAATACTTCATCAACTGTAAAGGGGAGGTGCCCAGTGCAGCTCACTAGAGATCTGCTGTGTGTTTCAGAATTCCCCCCATCTTCCGGGGTGAAGTGTGCCGATTGTCTCTCTGGGCCTGCTGTCTAATTTCTCTGTCAAAGAGCCTGATTTTATTTTCGTTGCCTTCCTAAACCTCAGAACTAGGCAGATTTGGCTGGCTATCTTCCAGTTTAAATTCTGGTTTCTTTCAACTTGGGAGGCAGAGAAAATATTTAGAAACAGATCTCGAATCTAAATTGGTATATTAAGTACATTAAAAAATGCAGTCTTTTTTCCTGATGCATATAAAACATTAACTTTTCTTGGCTTCCTTATCAACAGAAATAAGATATGTTAACTAATATTCTATTTTCCTTCCCAAATTTTACTAAGTGTAGTTCCTTATTAAACTCATTTTCTCCATTGTGAGCATTTTAATTAGAAATTCATCTTTCCATTTAAAACCAATTTTTTTTCTTTTTTTACACCTCCATTTTTATTTGGCCAGATTACTTTGAAAAGGGACTTTCTTGTAGTGGCTTTAGTTATGGATTTGAATGATACTGTTTAGATTAATATTTACATAGAGATTTCATATTAACAGGCTTCTTTTAAAGTACTACGTGCTATGCATATTGGGTCAGAGACTTCCATATGTGGCATTTAATTTTTATAAGGCCCCAAGTGGTGGTGTCCCAGTTATTTAGTAAATGAAGGAATTGAGGATAAAGAATTTTCTACTCAAGATCAGTTGCCTGATTATCAGGTGGCAGAGCTGAGAACCAAACCTAGTCTTTTGTCTTTTTTTTAATTAAAATTTTAATTTTGAGATAATTGTAGAGTCCTGTGTGATTGTAAGAATAACACAGAGATCCTGTGTATGCTCTACCCACTTGTACTCTATGATAATATCTTGGAAAATTATAGTACAACTTATAAGCAGGATATTGACATTGATATATTGACAAGTTACAGAACAGTTCCGTCACTGAAAGAATCCTTCCATGTTGCCCTTTGATAGTCATTCCTTCCTCCTTCCCCTCCCTGACCCTGGTGGTGACTAATTTGTTCCCTAATTCTATAGTGTTATCATTTCAAGAATATCATATAAACAGAACCATAGAGAATGTGACCTCTTAGAATTGGCCTTTACCACTCAGCATAATTCCCTGGAGATTCACATCCAGGGGACTGTGAATATCAATAGTTCTTGCTTTTCCTTTGCTGAGTAGCATACCATTTAACCATTCACCTGTTGAAGGATGTCTTGATTGTTTCTAGTTTCTACCCATTATGAAATCTTCTTTAAACATTCATATACATGCTTTTATGTGTACCTAAGTTTTCATACATCTGGGATAAAGGTCCAAGAGTACACCTATTGTCTCATATGGTAGTTGCATGTTTAGTTTTATAAGAAATTGACAGACTGTTTGCCGAGGGGTGTGCCATTGTACATTGCCACCAGCAATGTATGAGAGATCCAGTTTCTCTGCATCCTTGCCAGCATTTGGTGGTGTCGCTATTTTTTTTTATTTCAGCCTTTCTGATAGATGAGTAATGATAATCTTCTTATGGTTTTAATTTCTATTTCCCTCATGCCTAATGATGTTAAACATATTTTTATGTGTTTATTTGCCATCCATTTACCCTCTTCAGTAAAATATTTATTTTTTTATAATATTCTTACAAGGTTGCTTGTTTTTTATTATTGAGTTTTGGGAATTCTTTATGTATTCTAGATACTAGTCCTTTGTCATGTTGGTTTGCACAGATTTTCTTTCAGTCTGTAGTTTGTAATACCATCCTCTTAACAGTATCTTTCACAGCAAAAGTTTTTAATTTCAGTGAGATCCAGTTTTAATTTTTCCTGCTATGGATGATTGCTTTTGGTATTAAGTCTGAGAATTCTGCTTAGCCTTAGATTCCACAGATTTTCTATTATTTTTTTTCTAAAAGTTTTATAGTTTTACATTCAAGTGCATGATCTATTTTTAGTTAATTTTCACAGTTGGGGTTTTTTTTGTGTTTTTTTTTTCTGTGACTATTCAGTTGTTCCAGTACCATTTGTTGAAAAGGCCATCCTGCCATTGAATTGCTTCTGTATGTCTGTCAATCAGTTGGGCATATTTGGTCTGTTTCTGAGTTCTCTACTCAGTTCCATTGATTTGTATGTCTGTCCTTGTGCTGATACTATTACAGTGTGTTGGTTACTGTAGCTGTATAAGTGAGTGTTAATATCAGATAGGGTGATTTCTCCCGCCATGTGTTTTTCAAGATTGCTTTAGTTATTCCAAGGCCTGTGCCTTTTTTCCACATAAATTTTAGAAATTGTCTTATTTATGCCTATATTTAAAAAAAAACTTGTAGGGATGTTGATAGTAATTGCATTAGATCTCTAGATCAAATTGGAAAAAATTAACATCTTTACTATGTTGAGTCAGCCAGTTAATGAACACACTTTATCTTCATTCATTTAAATCTTTGATCCATCTCTGCCTTTTCCACTTTTCAGGATGTTTTAAGTTTACCCCTAATTATTTACTTTTCTTTTAAAGCAGTTGTAAAAGATTTTGTGCCTTTACTTTCAGTTTTCACATGCCCACTTTTAGTGAAACAACATGATTCAGTTTTGCATCTGGTTTTGCTTCCTGTGACCCTTCTGAACACAGTGGTTGAGAGAGCTTTCCTGAGGATTCCTTGTGATATTCTACACAGATCAGCATGTTATCTACAAGTAGAGACAGTTCTGTTTTCTCTTTCCCAATAGGTATGTCTTCTATTTCTTTTTCTTGCCTCACTGCAGTGGCTGGAACTTCCAGTGTTATGCTGAGTAAGAGTAGGGAGAGTTTCGATGTCTTGTTATTTCCTGACATTGGTGATTTATGTCTTCTCTCTCCATTTTTTTGTCAGTCTTCCTAGAGGCTTACAAGTTTTATTAACTGTTTTTCCTAATCAAAACAACCAGCATTTTAATACCATTGATTTATTTTTCCCCATCTATAGTTTTACTGTTTTTATTTCTCTTCTTTACTATTTTTGTCCCATTTACTTTGGGTTTATTTTGTTCTTTTTTTTTTTTTTTCTTAGTTGCTTAGGTAGAGACTTGTATTACTAAGATTTTGGCTCTTTTCTAATATAAACAGTTTAAGAACTATAAATTTCCCTCTCTGCACTGCTTTAGCTGTGTCCATATATTTGGATATGTTGTACTTTCATTTGTATTCAGTTTTGTGTGCATTTTATTTCTTTTGAAATGTCTTCTTTGACTCGTGCATTATTTATAAGTATGTTGTGGTTTCCAAATGCTTAGAGATTTTCTTGTTTTTGTTATTGAATTCTAGTTTTGTTTTTTTGTTTTGTTTTGTTTTTGGTACCTGGGATTGAACTTGGGACGTTGCGCTTGCAAGGCAAGCGCCAGAACCACTGAACTAAATCCCCAGCCCCTATTGAATTCTAGTTTGACTCCATTATGGCTA